TGTATGCTTTATGTTCATCCACCGGAGAAAAACTGTTCTGCATTGTCTTCCTGTCAGTCACCACTCAGAGAGAAGATTCCCAACCCCACACGATACCACAATGCATTAAATTACACAGGCAGCATGAATGTGCACTAATGGAAGACAATACCTTTTATTTTACAGGTAATCACCTAGTTACACAACATACATCTTAAAGGTGTAGATATATAGTTCACTAGGGGTGGAACGGTTCGCGGAAAAAAATCGAACCGTACGGTTCTCCACACACGGTTCGGCATGCGCTAGGACGGCGGTTCAACTTAAATCTGACAACGCATCTGTAATATGGTTTGCTATAAATAACATGTAAAACAAAAAGGGTTCGGCTAATATATGTTTCGGTTGATGGATGCGCATTCTGGCTTCCCAATACATTACAACAGCGATGAGAAAAAAAAAAAACGTGGACAAACCATTCACTCTTGTTCAATGCGACTGCCGTATGCTGGAATATGAGCATTTATTCCATCATCACCCAGGTGCTGATAGCCCGCGCGCACAGGTGAGACCTGAACAGCACACGTTGATATCTGTGTTTAAGCTAAACTCATTTAAGCTTTGCCAGTTTAAACATTTAAGAGCCAGAGGACACGAGCTCGCGCGCGCAGTGAGAAGATTTGTGCGTAAGCTCATCCGAAACGCGCAAACCCACGCCTCAGAACACGCGCAAATATTAAGCTCTCTCTGAAGTATTGTGTTTAAATGGACAAATTCACACAAAAATTATGTCAAAATGCCCGTCTTGGTAAGTATCCTATAGCAGACATAGCCGGCTGAACGTACTGTATCAGTGCAATTAAGCTTTCTCCGAAGTATTGTTTAAATGGACAAATTCACACAAAAATTAGATCAAAATGGCCGTCTTGGTAAGTATCCTATAGCAGACATAGCCGGCTGAACGTACTTGCAGTGTCTTAAAGTGACAGCACTTTCTTAATATTAATCAAACAGCAACAACAAAGAAATCACTCACTGCTCTTGATTGAATAGCTTTTGTAACTTTAATAAAGATTAATCTTTAATTTATACAGTCAAATATGCAATGCTGTTTTACATTTCATTACTTTATTCAATTTCTGTACCTGAAAACTAATGTTAGACCTACCTAAAAAAAACTCACTCTGAAAATCACTGTTTATTTTATTTGTGCTGTTGCTTGTAGTTAGATAGATTATTCTTATTTTCTTTATTTTTATTTGACAGTATAGTTTTTGCCTAAACATAGCACATACCGAAACCGTGACTCTAAAACCGTGATACGAACCGAACCGTAAGTAAGTTGAACCGTTCCACCCCTACAGTTTACCAAACAACGCAAAGGTATGAGTCTAAAATAATCTATGAATTTACCATAAATTCAATACAAAGTTTGAAGTCAAACTTCCTTGCACTGTGTAGGCTATTGCCCAGCAAAATTTCCCCAAAGCACCATCTACCATCTAAGTTGTACTCAAATTTTTTTGTATGTGTCTTCCTAACAATATAAATATGTTTCAGAACATAATTGGCTCAATTTCATAACTAAAAAGGCACACCGTGTATAAACCCTGCATAGGGACCATGTCAGTAAGAACAGAGTTTATTTCAAGTCTCTCCTAACAAGCTTATGATCTGAACCAGGTGTTACAGAGAGAAATACAAAACATGAGTGGTGAGGGGGGCTGGACTGGAATTGAGAACTACTGAAGTAAAACATTCAGCTGACATAATTGTACTTTTAAAAAAAATGTGATCCTTTCTTGAACTCACCCACAGATGTGACACTTGTACTCTCTCATGCCTAGATGTCTCTTAACGTGGTTGCGGGCATCACCAAGCTGAGCAGTAGCAAAGTTACAGATCTTGCACATGAACGGTTTAGATCCTTTAGAGAGAAAAAAACAAAAACAAAAAGACATTGAATTTTCTTCATTATATTGACATGAGGGTGAGTGAATGATTTTAATTTCAGAATTTACATTTTCAAGAGAAATACAGTATCACTTTAAGAAAAGACCTGCAAACTTGTGAGGAGGGATGAATACACATATCTACATCATCAATAAATAACATAAGTAAATAACTAATAAATAATCAAGCACAAATATTATTACTCTTATTTTAGATATACAGCAATTTGCAACAAGTATGGGGTTAGATACCGAAAGCACACTGGGACCAGTTAAACTAACGACAAGATGGCGTAACTTTTGTTTACATTATCTTCTTTAGTAGAAGATTATTGGGGGTCCAAGTACTGAAAGAGCTGAAGTCTTGTTGTATTTGTTCTGTAATATATTATTAATGATTAATTATTATTATTATTCTGCCATAAAACTGTTTGGGAGTCAGAGAACGTAATCCATACGCACATACAGATCTATGTATGTTTTCCTTAATTTTAGAACTGTATGGGCTAGAATTGGCAATTGGCAACTCATTTTACAGATGTTTAAACAGAAACTTTGTAATTGACTAATCTAAAACTAAAAAACACATTCGATACTAATGGCTACAGAAAAATATGGCTTATATTTGTGATGTGCTGGCCTTGCATTATGATCATTGTACATCAGGCTGCCCACCACTTTTCAAGAGTGGGTAATCTGTCTATGTCCTTCAAACAAAACAATGGTGTCAATTGGCTCGCTCGCTGATGTTGCTGATGATTCTGGAATAAATTACGTCAAATGCAGTTTGTCAGTTTATAATCATGCAAAAATCAGAAAGCACAAGCTTATGTCTCAGGTTGTTATGTTGAAACATTAAATTCAATAGTAGAAGACTACTCTTAGACGATGAAAACCTTGGATGAAAACATGAGCTGCTCACGTGTAAATGAACACAGTGCTGTCCTTCACTCTGAAACATGCCACGCAACAGGCTATAGGGGAGCGCGGGGCACAAAGTAACGCGGGGTTATTTAATTAAAAAGCAGCCTTTGATTTGAAAATCGAGATTTCAGTTTTTTTCTATTAATTGTGCGGCTCTATTTATTTATTTTAATTTTACATTGGGAAACCCTGGCACACAGCAATGTGTCTTGAATAAAATATTTTTTCATAAGGTCATGTTTTTGGTTCTTTTTCCCTTTTTCTTTGTGGCGTTATCACTTAAGACACATTTTATACAATACAGGATTATAATTTTTATGTTACATGTAATTTATTATTAATTATAAAATTTCTAGCATTATGTTTATACCTTTAGTAAAGATATAACGTATTTGTTATTATCTGATGTCTAACTCAGAGATTAAAAACGAAATGCTTTTCTGAGGAAAATTTGGCTATTTTTCATTATGGTTCCAGAGTTCCGAGGTCTGCTTAAGGTTACTGGTTAGAACAAAATAAAAACTACTGCTTTATTTATATATATAAAAAAAAAACAGTAAATTATTTGTGTATTTTGATATTTATTTTATTAGTCTGCAGCAAAATATGGCACTCTTAAAGCAGCACTATGTAACTTTTTCTGTGTTCAAAATTTGCAAAATGTATATAATGAGCGAGTACATCATGAATTCATCTTCCAAACCGCGTTTTTGTCTTATTCCGAATCACTACGGTACACTTATAATAAGTACTTATATTTGGACTATTGTAGCCTGGTCGGGTCGTCACCGCTGCGGAGTAACACATACCTGCGTGAATCGCCATAGACATACATTTAGAGAAGTAGCTCCGGTTAGAATGTTCTTCCGCGGGATGTGTGTAGTTCTGTTTATTAACCGCTAGAGCGCCAAAAGTCACATAGTGCTGCATTAACAGCTTTCAGCACTGGAAACACCTTCAGTTAATGAAAGCCCTAATTATTTTTTGCTGAGCTGTAGACATTCAAGGCCCTATGCTTTACTCATCCGTTTGAAACAAAACTATATTTTAAATTGGAGATATCTTGTAATTTAGAAATAGTCTTGTAATTAATAGCGGTGCGTGGCATCTGTCATATTTCTTCTACTTGTCAGTACTGTTTATAATGCCCAGCCTAGCTCCGGTTAGAATGTTCTTCCGCGGGATGTGTGCAGTTCTGTTTATTAACCGCTAGAGCGCCAAAAGTCACATAGTGCTGCATTAACAGCTTTCAGCACTGGAAACACCTTCAGTTAATGAAAGCCCTAATTATTTTTTGCTGAGCTGTGGAGACATTCAAGGTCCTATGCTTTACTCATCCGTTTGAAACAAAACTATATTTTAAATTGGAGATATCTTGTAATTTAGAAATAGTCTTGTAATTAATAGCGGTGCGTGGCATCTGTCATATTTCTTCTACTTGTCAGTACTGTTTATAATGCCCAGCCTGTCTAACGGTTTGTAATTATTGATCTCCTCCATAGTGCTTTAAAAATACAGCATCATGTGTATATACTGTACATATCATCCATTCTGTGCTATCCTGTCTTTGGAGCACACTATATTGTGCTGCAGAGGTTCATGTGACACTGATGCGAAACCACACTTCATTTGGCCCAATGGAAAGCATATTTACATTCAATGAATCATTCACTATCTGCTACATAGTGCATTTTGTGTCATTAAAAATATTAAATGTGTGAACAAGTGACCAACTGTACATTTTGAATGCATATATCTTCATTTTTGAACATTTTCAGAAATGTTCAATTTTGATTTCATGGGGACTTTAACGCCAAGAAAGGAGGATCTAAGGTCCCGTCCACACTGCAAAGGTTTGGGAGCGCGAACAATGCATATATACAGGAGTGAATTCCATAAATTATTACTCAATGTGTGTAAAGAATACAAGAATCAAATCAAATTCGTTTTTATGCTCTTTAAGTTGATGCTTCTAAACAGCATGTTCTCTCTGGACAATAATGTATGTGTTAGCATTAGACCACAGGGCTGATGGGAGCAACCTCAGATTAGTTCAGTACAGACTATGCTGATATAATCAGTTCAGCTTGGTGAATTGTAAAAATGCACTTTTTTTTATTCGTAACTGTGTGTACAAATCAGGATTAATCACACAGAAGAGTAACAACAAATTTATTTACATGTAGCTGCAAGTGTGTACATGGTCTAGGAGTTTACCAAGCAAGTAATTACCAATAGTAATTAAATGTAATATGCTGCTAGTAAATATTTTGATGGTTAAAGATCAACAAACAGAACATTCTAAACTGTAATTCTAAAGAGGTTTTATTCAAATATGTAAAGGTAAAGATAGAGGAAGACATACCTGTGTGTGTGCGAATGTGAGCCAGGAAAGCCATGGAGTTGCTGCTCTTGCATACTTTGCCGCAGTACTTGCACACATTGCCCTGGTTTTCCTGCCGCTCTCGGTTGATCTGCTCTGTGTCCTCCAGCACATATTTGTTCACTTCTCTCAGCAGTTCTTCGTGTTTCTCTTTGATATGCACAAACAGTTCCTGCTCGGTTTGGCAGGGCTCACTGCATCGGACACATTTAAAGCTGGCGCCTCCTTCTGGAAGATCTTCAGTGCTTCCATGCTCGTTGCGCATATGTGCTGCACTGCTTAAGTGCTGCTGTAGGTTACTCTCTGTGTAGAAGGACTTTCCACAGAGCAAGCAATGGAAATGTTTCTCCTTTGATGGATGTTTCATGGAGATATGAACATTTAGTCCACTTAAGCCATCTGCCAAAAAACCACAGTCCTCACAGCGGATACGTGGAATTGGTTTGGTAGTCTTTGTCTCAGGTCCAACCAGTGTTTTAGGCTTTTTGATGCTCTGCTGGTTTAATGCACCTGTAGTTTGTTCTTCGTCATGTGATGCCTGCTTGCGCTCTGCTAATGTTTTTAAGGGATAGATGCAAGCATCAAACTGTATCGCTCTAAGGTGTTTCTCACTAGAGGGACTGTCATCTCCCATATCAGTCATTTCATCTTCATCAAACACATTTTCTTCATCCATTTCCTCCAGCATTGCGTCTTTCACCATCGTCATTGACTGGACCATGTCAGCCACATTTGATTCAGCTGGATTAGTTGAGGATTCTTCATTGTCTTTGGAAGTATTCTTTTCAGCAGATTGTTTTGCTCCATCTTCATTTGCAGAATTCTCTTCATCTTTAGTTGTGGTGCTTGAAGATGTTAAAATAGAACTGTTATGGACCACTTCCGATCCTGTGATTGTCTCTGGGTCTTCAAAGGTGGACTTGATGGTCATAGCAGCCCGAACATTATTAAAGCTTTGGTTCTGTTTTTTCAGGTAACACTCACGTTTCTGCTTGTGTTTTTCTGTTGCCATGTGTCTAAACATCTCTCTGCGGGTTACGGTGTAGTAGCTGCATGCTAAACAAACAAACTCAAAGTCTTTTGTGTGCTTGCGTCGCACATGGAGAGCTAGAGACGGAGTTGAGTGGGCAACAAAGTCACACTGAGTGCAGATATTACTCAGGTCATACTTGCTTTTCTTACATGGTACACTGGAGTTATTTTTGTCCAATTCATCAATAGGTGTCTCAATCACTGATACTTTGTCACCCATTTCTGTCTCATTTTTCTTTGCTTGACTTGGCTGCTCATCTAGCAGGACTACCCCACTGCCTTCACTTCCGGCTGCTTGCATTCTGTTAATGTGTTTTTTAGTTTCACAGTGGCGGTCCATGTCCCCCTTGGTCACACAGTAATAGTTACACAGCTTACAAACGAAGCTGTATAACCGACTGTGCCTGCGTCGTATATGGACGTTGAGGTTGGTGGCATTGGAAGCAACGAGCCCACAATGACTACAAACAGTCACATCAGATGTCTTTGGTCTACCTCGCTTCCGTTTGTGAGGAGAACCTTTCCTTACAGTTTCAGCTGGCTCTGGTAGTACATTTTCTGTTTCCTGAACCTCCCCAGCTTCTTTAGAGCAGTGCTCAGGAGCGTCACTCTCATTCATTTTTCTGTCCTCCCTTTGATCTGACAGAATCACAAGGATTTTTTCAACACAGTCTTTAAATAAAGGGCTAATGTTTTTCTCTTTGGCCACCTGTTGGTGGACTTCTTCTGACAGATGAACCTCCATGCTCTCTATGGTGGTGGTGTAGTAATGGCAGGCCCTGCAGTGGAAACGGTGCTCCACTGGATGGTGCGTTTTAATGTGCTGTGCTAACATTACAGAGTTGTTAGCTGTGAAGTTGCACCTGTCACATTGATGTTGTACCTTGCCTTCAGTCGGATGCGTCAACACTGTTGTCGATGGTGGGAAAACTAATTCTTGAGGCGTCATCTCTGTCTTTAATGAATCCTGATTCTCCAACATCTTTTGGTTGTGCTTATTGCTCATGCACTGCTTCTCGTGATCACACTTTACAACGCAAGAATAGCTACAGAAATCGCAGACTTTATTTTGTTTTTTATGATGTTGCCTCTTAATATGCGTGTCTGGGCTGTGTCCATCTATGACTTTATGTACACAACAGGAACATGCATGTAGAGTATTAGGCTTTGAATGCCTTTTACTTTTATGATTCTCAGCATGTCCATCAATGCCACCATTTTTATTGCTTTTCACTTTACTTTCCAAATGAAAACTACAGCCGGCTTGCATATCATCACCATCTTTAAAGGTCTCATTTGTGTCTTCACCATCCTGACATCTACATGAAGTGGGCTCAACTATTTCCAGCAACATCTGAGTGGGACTGGTTCTTCCATCCTCAGAAGTGTCAACAAACTTCTCAGATATTACAGCCTCATCTACAAGGAGTTGATGTGTATGTTCAGTCTCTGTTTGAACCATGCAGGTATCTGATTGTTTGTCTTCCTCTGACACAGAAGTACTGTCCAGTTTCAACTCTGAAAGATGTGTTCGGTTTTCACTTTCTTGTAATTGTGGTGTGTTCTGCAACGGATTTAACCCCGGTGCAATAACTGTGTCAGAGACTGTGTCATTTTGTAAGCCTCCTTTATGAGAGTGTTTTCTTGTTGAGTGAATTTTCAGAGCAGTTTGAGTTTTTGCAACAAAATTGCAAAATGAACAAACCAAAGCATCAGTTGTTTCTGAAGAGCCACGTTCTTTACATTGTATGGTTCTGGATTGTTCCTCTACTGTAGCTGTCCCAGCATGCTCACTTTCTTCTACAATATTTATACATCCTGAATCGTCAGATGCTTTAACACTTTTAGGTGCAGATGAAACATCTTCTGTACCAGTATCATTGGCCTTTTTCTTAGGTTGACACTTGTCCTTTGAAATCTCCTTTCCAGACCTTAATTTCCGCTTTGGATTGTCCATGTTGCTGTCAGTTCACAAGGTATATTTACTAAGCTTCATTTAAAGGATCCATAGAAGACTTTTCTGTGAAAAAAGCACCATGAAAATAATGAATATGTAGCTAAACCAAATAATAATATTAATCCTAATCAATTATTACACTATATTAACATTTCCATCTATATTATTATAAAAATCATTAATTACTATTTACATAGTGTACTAGTTCAAATATATGGGGGGAAAGTATGGATACTACAATACCAATTGTTACAGACCGATCTCAATCTTATACACCTAGGGTGCCACAAAAATAGTTTAAATAAGTTAAATTCTAAGATTTTTTAAATAATGTTTTTAAATGCTATTTTAGAAAAAATCTCAAAATATTTTCTTAAGAACAACTTTTTTCCTTAAAGGGGTCATATGATGCTTTTTTAAAGATCATTATTTTGTGTATTTGGTGTAACAGAATATGTTGACATGCTTTAATGTTCAAAAAACACATTCTTTTTCAAATACTGTACATTATTGTAGGTCCTAAGGAAAACTTGAAATCGCATCATATGACCCCTTTAAGAAAATGACAGGCTTTAGTGTTCAGTGGTTCTTGATGAATCTGAGTCTATGGTAGTTCTTGGTGAAGAATCGATAATCAAAAAATTGAACTTTTTGTCGTTTTGCGATGCCTTCAGATTACTGTAATAATCATAATAAGCATGCACACTATTTTTGCCTTGACTTGCTTGACACACTGCGTCACGTTTTTAATGTGCTGTGTATTTTAAGTTGTTATCTTCTAAAGAGCCTGTCTCAAGAAGGAGTGGTATGTTGGATTAATTTGCACTCTGTTGTTGGATTCATTTGTCTTGTTACACTCTTTCTAGAGCAGTGGTTCGCAACCAGGAGGCCAGGGCCCACTAGGGGGCCTTAAGATTACTAATAACTTAAAATATAAGACAAAACAAGCTTTAAATTAGGATAATGTGCAACAAACTTCCGCCGCTTCTGGTTTGGGTTTTGTTCTGGAGTTTAGGCTGGATTTAGTACGTTAATCCTACTGTTTACACATATGACCATTTTTCAGTTGTTATTAAATATTGCAGTCTGGATGCTATTATTGTGATTATACCATCTGGGAATAATCGTTATTATACTGTCCTATTTAATAAACACTAGTTTAAATAGACCGCCTATCTTCACTTTAGGCATTTGGAAAGAAAGCTTGCATTGCTCCAACTGTAATCGCATATATATGTGATCATTGTATTGGCCATGTGTTGAAAAAACTGTGGATTAAACAAACTTGCTACAGACACATCCCAAGGTGGAGGTGTTCTAGCGTTGTCAGTGGACATTCACCATTATGTGAAGCTGAACTCCCATATGAAATAATTGAAACTGCATGCTCCACACTAGTGGACATGCACCGTTACAGTGAAAGTTACAGATACTGTTGCTTGCTTGCCTCATTTTTGTACTTTGGATTTATTCAAATTCTCTAACCCTGCTCCAACACATCTGCCCGTAATTATCAAGTAACCCCGAACACCTTGATTAGCTGGTTCAGGTGTGTTTGATTGGGGTTGGAGCTGAAATCTGCAGGATGGTAGCTTTCCAGGAGCAGGGTTGGAGACCTCTGCTGGCAGTCATTTGTAGGGTACAATGGGGCTAAAGGCGCAAAAGGTGCATTTGATATTATTCTCCTTTAAACAACTAGATAGTACAAAAATTCACCTCAGCATTTTTCTTAACAATCACGTTTGAATATGCACTTGGAAATTTGGCAGATACTTGACACGATTGCGCACAGCAACACAAAGTTGATTCTGTGCTAATTATTTGATCCAATATTTAAAGTTTTTTTTTTTTTATTTTTTTAAATGTTGTAGATTTATGTAGCACATAAGAATTGATACAATTATTGACAATATTTTGAGACAAAGGTCTTGTTAATGTTTTTCAATTTTGTCCAAGGTAATTAAAGCAGCAGTTTTCCAATAATGGAAGAATATGTAAAAGTATGGTATTTGGGGTAAAAAAGCACCCATGCTGTTGGGGTCAAAGGCACAATAATTAACATGGGATAAGGGATATTAGGGATATGATGGATTTCATTGAGACCATTCGATCTGTAAAGTTGCCTTTAACACCCGTGTTTTAGTCACGATGGATGTTGAAGCTTTCTACACTAATTTTCTTGGTATCTCTGAATGGTATCTCTGAGGATTTCCAGTCAAGATTTAGACTGTATCATAGTACAGAGACTGCTCTCATCAGAGTTACAAATTACCTGCTCTTATCATCCGATCCGATCGTGGTTGTATTTTTTTATTAGTGCTGCTGGATCTTAGTGCTGCGTTTGACACTATCGACATACTACATACTACACACTACAACATACATACTACACAATTATGTTGGCATTAGTGGAATTGCACTGTCATGATTCAAATCTTACTTTTCTGAGATATCATATTGATCACAAGTACAGTATGGAGTAGGGCTGCACGATTAATCGAATGCGGTTGTCATGGAGCAGCATTTACTACACAGAGCCGTAGTTCACTGACAAGTAAAAAAAAAAAATAGATTTTTCGATAATCGAATCGAGAATTGAAATCAAAAATCGAACCGAATATCGAATCGAAAATCGAAATCGAATCGAATTGAGGGCTTGAAAATCGAAATCGAATCGAATTGGAACATCTGAATCGATACCCAGCCCTACTGACAAGGTACGCAAAACCGCGTTCATAGTCGCAGATCGATTTAATTGCGCGATTATGAAATCGAAGAAATCGTTCCGCGATTATGAAAGCTGTTTGCGTAGCTTGTCAGTGAACTACGGCTCTGTGTAGTAAATGCTGCTCCATCTGAATGCATGTGAAAATACTAGAGCCCGACCGATATATCGTATCGGCGAATATGCCACCGATATGGAATTTTTTTTACAGAACATATAACGCAGATTAAATGCTTCTGAACAGTGCAATTACTTAGTTTGTCCAGCAGAGCGCGCTCCATTGTTTGCTACTGGTGACCCAGGTCACTGTAGTGTAGAGATGTGCGGATGAGCTCAAACTTCACCCAAGTCCGCTGCTTCAAATTATCTGCCCCCCACCCACCCGCACCTATATTTGATCGTCACATTACAATGATTCTAATTCTTAGTTTTGCATGATGATATGATGAATGTATGGTTCATTTTTAACAGCAGATTCAGTGACGTTAGAGACTAGAGCTGGTCTGCGCATCACGGCACGCGTCTGCGGCGCATTAAAGCCTGTGTTACAGCCACCGGAGCTGATCGCGGCCACTCAGTCAATGCTGGTGTGCCGCGCTGCGGCCCAGAACTCATGCTTAATCACATCGGTCACATCACATCACGCGGCGTGACAAAATACAATAGAATTCTATTGTATTTTGTCGCGGCGCTCGATGTGATGTGACCGATGTGATTAAGCAGTAGGTAGCTTGCCTGCCCTACACAGTTACATTGTTTAATTTCTTAATTCAAGTTATATATTTTGTTCTATTTGTGTTATTAAAAAGTTATTTATAATAAGTGAAGTTTACTGTTAAGTGCACTGATGTCAGACTCAGTTTGAATAAAATGTTTATTGTTAAATACCCTGCCTCCACTACATAGGCCTATGTTTGCCACATCATTATAAGTGTTTGATCACCACATTTGAGTTATCATTGCAAAAAATGTGTTTATGTATATACATTCTGTTTATGTAGGCTATATACTGTATTCTATATACAGTACCAGTCAAATGTTTTGACACACGAATGGGAAGTGTGTCCAAACTTTTGACTATACTGTATAACCTACACATAAAGAATATCGGCCGATATATCGGTATCTGTCTTTTTTTACTCCCTATTATCGGTTTCAGCATCGGCCCCCAAAAAACCCATATCTGTCGGGCTCTAGAAAATACCACATTTAATAACACGTTTTTACTTCAAACTCACTTCATAACGTAAGTCGATTGTTCGAAAAAAATCCTTCTGTGAGATGATGTGGCTTCTTACACAGAATAAGGCACGCAACATATTTCATAGCATTCTAAGCAGTGATAAAGGATATGTCGATTAGAATTGCGTTATTATATACTTTATTATAATAGAAATTGTAATACAACAAACTCAGATAAACCATATATTGTCGTAGTCATGTGTTTATTAGTCACGTTGAATTAATGAAAGCAGTTAAATTGTTGCTTTGTTGTTTATTCAGGAACCGTTATAGGGATTTCCTGGATTTCTTTTGCGGGACGTATTTGGAGTTTCCGCACGAGAGCGCCCTCTGGCCTTCGGATGGAGATTTACAACTGATCACAGAACTGTGCTTCCCTAACAAGATGCGCATGACAATCGCAGCTTTTGCCTAATCGCGATTGCGATTTAATTTTGATTAATCGTGCAGCCCTAGTATGGAGTGCCACAAGGCTCAGTACTAGGACCATTGCTTTTCACACTTTACATGTTACCCTTGGGAGATATCATCAAGAAACATGGTGCTAGCTTTCACTGTTATGCTGATGATACTCAGCTCTAGGGATGTAATGATTAACCGCGAGCCGGTCGAAAATCGATTCAAATATGTGACGATTCAAATCGGTTGAGATGCCAACAAATCGCAATACAATTGGAGTAGGAAATATACATTTATATGAATGTATCTCTGAGGGGAACTGACTGTCATTAGAAAAGTTTACGTGGTATTTTCTTTTCATCTTGCCTCTGAACAATGCATATCACAGCAGATTAAAAGGTCAGACTATGGACGAAACCTGCTATGATTACTCTACTTTTAAAGCATAAATTTGATTTAAACAATAGGACTACATAATATTCACATATACAGTTCATAGGGGACATATTGTATTAGCCCTACATTTACAGCATGAAATAGGCTACTATTTAAACCTTTGAGATGCCAACAAATCGCAATACAATTGGAGTAGGAAATATACATTTATATGAATGTATCTCTGAGGGGAACTGACTGTCATTAGAAAAGTTTACGTGGTATTTTCTTTTCATCTTGCCTCTGAACAATGCATATCACA